TGCCTGCGCTCCGGTCCAGATGTAAATAATGGTGTCGAACTGCATTATCAGTTTGAGGCAGAATCAGACTGAGAAAGCGGCGATGAAGAGAGTCAAGCAGAACCTCACCACACACGGCTCTTACTAAACGTTTCTGAATGATAATTTGCTACATTTTTTAACTTTATACACAATAGCAGGTTTGTTTAACACAATAGCATCTGGCTGGCAACAATAGCAACTGACTGGCTACTAATGTTATACTCAAACAGTGTTGGCATTAGTTTACGTTCTTGATCAGATCGAAAATAATGTCATAAAGCATATATACATGAAAAATACGTTTAAAACATTAGTACTTATACAAAATTCAGGTCCATAATGTTTGTATGCATTTGTCGTAGATACAAAATAGCATAGCTAGTAGCCTAGTGGCTATAAAGCCAGCACTGGCATTTGAAAAAAATAAAACACTACGTCTGGAATTAAGTCTTAGCCTACTTACAGGTTGTGGCCCAACAACTGCTGCCTCTGGTTTTAAAGTTGGAACTGCTTCATGTTTTAGAAACAGTTTCTTGTTGAATCCGGCATTGAATTCGTGGAGATTCTGGAAGCTGTCTTCCGTAAATGTGCAGCACAGAGAGCTTAATTAAGATCGTCATTTTTTAAGAACATAATCAAACATAAATTGTATCCATTGTTGACGAAGTACAGCGTCCGTGGGAAGCTCGAACACAGAAGACCTGATAGCTGGGTGAACACAACACACTCGACGAGCCGCAGAAATATGCGCATGCCCTTTTTTGCACTTTCCGGAGGAAGGGTTGATGCAAATGTATGGGTTAGTGACGTCTAAAACCCAGCTGTAGTCCAAATTGAGTCGTTTTTGTAGGCAATATACTTGCTGATTTTTAAAAGATGTTATCTCTGCTTACACTGAACTTTCAGCGCTGCAACTTTGCAGATACTGTTCATGCACCAACAGCAACATTACACACTATTTAAAATGAAGTGAAATCGCAATCAACACCCCCCCCTCCCCCCTTAATAGTACTGGTAGTTAGTAGAATGCTAAAAGTGAGTTACTTATTCGTTTCTGTGTTGTTATTATTCATTAATGTTGGAACAGTATTCTAAAGTGTTAACGGAAACTCTGTATATTTGTGAAGTTTGCACATTTCCAATTTGAAGCTTGAAGCACATGAATCCGATCACTTTATTTAGCTTTCATGTAAACACTGTTTATCATCAATCAGAACGATTTTATTTCAATTGAAACAAATATGTCAATGTAAATGTCGCTACTGATGCTGATGGCCCGCTTGTTCTTGTTTATTCTACAAATCATGTTGTTTGTGGACATGTCAAGAAAAAGCGATGTGCATGAGCTTTTGTGACTGTCACAGGATCGTACCTATCTATAGTCTCATAATTTCTGCATTTAATGCATAAATAGTTTTGTAAAGTGCAGACAAGTGCTTACATTTTGAATATGTAAACACAATCTTCTTTAATTTGGAATAACATGCATGCATGAATCGTACAAGACAATCTGTCTTCCCTTAATAAAAAAAAAAAATTCTTAAAAATATGTTGAAGTGTTCTATTAGTGTACATATTTGTTTAACTAAAAATCAAAGCGGGTTATGTTCTTTTCAGAGACATACTTAACAAAATTACACTTCTTGTATTTGGTTTCTGACAAGTATTCAAAAAAGTACATTTTCCCAATGCCTTAAATAATTACTTAAACTGAACTTTAAGTATAAAAATCCACTGAATTACCTATGTTAAGTTCACTTAAAGTATTCTTCAAAGTGTACTTAGTTTAATACATTGTGTGTATTTAATAAATAAAAGTAGACTAGACCTATACAACAACTAAACTATCTGTATACCTATAAGTCCACTTGTAGTGTAGTTCAGAGTATACTTGCAGTGCAAAAAACAAAACAAACAAAAAATAAATAATGCTGCACATGCACTTGGTTATGTGGACAGCATATAATTTTGAGCACAGTTTTACCATCTGAGGCAGATTTCAGTCATCATAAAAGATTTATTTTGTGGCAGGGCAAAACTGGCAGTCTTGAATCTTTTAGTGTGACATGCTCACCAACAGCTGATGATTTCTTCTGACAGTGTCAATAGTTTAGTGTGCCAATCCCGTTGTGGTGACCTTCACATGAAGAAGCAATAGGAGCACTGCTGCTATTGACGCGTGTGTGAGAGAACCATTCAGTCTTTATGCAATGCAGCATAAATATCTTATTCACCGTTTCTTATGTTATGACAGTCAGCACTACAAAAATGACCTTGAGATTAAGACTGAGCAGTTCACAAATTCCATCTTTTCCTGGGAAAACACTGCAGACTTTAGTATAAAAGCAAATTTGGGTTTGTGTGTCAAGGATATCCACCCTTATTCACCTTTTTCTGCGCCCATTCTATTTCCCATGATTCATTGCGGGTTCAACTGACTTGACGGTTTTCTACTTCCTGTTGAAGTATTTGTTTACATAGAATGCTAGCACTCTAGTCCAGACCACTCATCTAGAATGATAAATTATATAGATCAGTGGTCCAGACATTAGAAAAAATATCAGTCTACACATGCGTTTTATATTCACGGACATGACCGTTCTGAAAGAGACTTTAAAACTTTTACAGAGATCAAAGAAAAACAAAACAACAAAGAAACCTTTCTTTCAAGTGAATTTCGTTTTTCACTAAATGTATCTTAATTTCAATCAATGCTTCATCAACCAATTGACTTGTTTTAATAAATAAGAAGTATATAAAAAAACAATAGATGATCATGCCAGAGGCGACAGCGCTCAAACTGGACTTTGGTCTCATGAATGAAACTTGGCGTATGCCTAACCTCACAGGCCTGAGAAATGACTATAGTCGCAGACATAGATGCATCTTTGAAAGCAAAGACAGGAGTCAAAGGGCTAACCAGCCTAACCTTATAGTACTGTTATTCTGCAGCAGTCAGGGTGATAGAAACTGTCGGATGTTTGCTGGATTAGGGAGATCGTGCAGTCTTGCATCAGCTATCCTTTGGAAGTTATGAAGCAAAGAAAAACGTTCATTTTGTTTTTATCTGTGATGTAATAAAAAATAATGTGATCACTGATCAGATCACATTTGATGAATGATTTTCGATTTAGTTTAGCGATGTGGGGATGACACAATCTAAAACACATGGCAAAAAAGCATAGACCAGACTCGAACCGGAAGTTGACAACCGGTGTCGTCGTCATGGCAGCACGCATTGTTTAGAGCAGAAAAAGGTGGATAAAAATTAAATATACTTTAAGTTAAGTTCAAGTATATTTTATGTAGTTAAGTATACCAATATCAGTGTACAAGTAGTATACTTGGAGGGAAACTATTTCAAAACTTCTGGGGACTAAAGTGCCCCACTTTTTAGTTTGTGAAACTAAAGTGTATAAATACAAAGTGTATTTGTGGAGTAAAAGTAGAACACTTTGAGTACGTGACTAGTTTAAATCTAAGTTTTCACTTTTATATTTCAACTACTACAAGTGAACATCTAAGTAAACTGTAAGTTTACTAGCTATATACTTATAGCCCACTTTTTAGTTTATAAAAGTACACTTGGAAGTACACTCAGTAAACTATTAGTTTTTATAACTATTAGTTTTTTTTTAAATTAACCTAACATCAAAGGCAAGGCAAATTCATTTATATAGCACATTTCATACACTATGGCATTCAAAGTGCTTTACAGAAATGAATTAAAATAATCGCAATTAAAGCAAGGAAACTTGAAACAGTTATACAATATTATTAAAAGAGATATGATAAATTTATAAAATGAATTACGAGTAAAACGTTGGTATACTTTTAGTGTACTAAATATACATTGTAATACAAGGGAGTATATTTTTTTCATACACTTTACTTTTTTAACTTCTCTTAGTATCCCAAGTATATTTTAACGGTGCTTTTGAGTAAACTTGAAGTTTACTTAAAACAAAACTTACTTTAAAGAAAAAAGTATGTCTCTAATAAGTACAAAAAATGTAGAAAGTAACTCTCTTGTTTTTAGTTTTAAAGGGTAACTAAACCTCTGGTCAGAGCCTGACTCCACCCACCGGCAATATTTGAAAATGCTGAAAAAGTGGGCTGACCCCAGTGGAGATAGAGGGGACGAAATAGATGCTAAAACACTCTATCCTGATCGTTTTCAATACTCACAATTCCAATTACTGACTCCCTACAGTGGTTTTGACGACTCGCGTGGTGAGCTGAAACCTGCGTACGTCACGAAGTGCGGAACATCCAATAGAAAAATTCAACTGCAGTAGCCACCGTTCAACCTGAAGATGGCAGCACTAAAACGTTTTTACACCATATATTGTAGAAATAGAACACTTTATAAACAAATGTCAAAAAAGTTACTCAAATCAGTGACTGGTATTAATAAATATCCATTCTTATAGATCATTAACTAAAAAAAGTTGGTTAGGTGTTTAGTTACTCTTTAAAGAAGTATACTACTAGCACACTTGAATAAACGTATAATTTATACGTGTAGTCAGACTTGACCAGAGTCTCAACTAATTTGTCCGTCATTCAGTCTGACATAAAAGACTATTCCTGTCGTGCAGTCTGATCTCTTATATACTGTAAGTCTTATATCATATAAACTCACAAAATACATAATTTAGGACACACACTAAAAATAAATAAATAAATCTAACAGTTTGCACTGGGCTTCAGAATGAGAAAAGACCAACATATCAGCAATTATAAATATTTCCCAGGAAACAAATCGCAGATTTGCCAAAAACCTTAACCAGACTTTCTGTGTTTCTGTGTCCTGTGTTCATACTGTTGCGTTAGGTTGAGTAAATGATGGTCTGTTGTCTGTTCATAGCTATTTGTCAGGATGAAGTGTGTATGTGCGTGTGAGTGAGCATGATTCTCTGTCGTCAATCGTGAACAAAAAAAACTCTCGTAACATATCTTGTCTCTCGCACCTGTAGGTTATAGAGTTCGATGATGGATCGGGCTCTGTGCTGAGAATCCAGCCGCTGCGGACACCACGTGATGAAGCCATTTATGAATGTGTCGCCTCCAACAGTGTTGGGGAGACGAGCGCCACGACACGACTCACTGTTTTACGTGGTAGGTCTATGACAAATAACACTCGCTAACCTTTGCTCTCTCATTGCCTTCCAGCTCTCACAGGTACGTGTTTTGTCTATTTGTTCATTTTGTCTGTTTGTATCTTTCTTCAGTGAGTACACTACTGGTAAAAAGTTTGGAACAATTTGAATACTTGTTTTAGTGCTTAGAAAGGCTGTATTTATTTGATGAAAAAATGCAGTAAAAACAGTGATATTGTAACATTTTATTACAATATAAAATAATGTGATTCATGTATGTGTGTAATGCACATTTAAAATGAAGTTTAAAATCATTGGTTACCCGTAAGCCAATCAGATTTTTGATGTATGTTATATTTTTGATGTATGTTATGCGCCGACACAGCCGCATCGAACCACAGACATCATGCATCGAACTCAAATCTATGATCGAACTTCCACTGTAAACCTGATGAAAACACTTGACTTACACTTATCTAGGCATCCATGGTACAATCACGCCTCTAAACTTATTTTTGCCAGAGTAAAACAAGAAAATATTTGTAGACAACTCTCAAACTTAGGATTAGATCTTTTAAACACAACTCTTTGTTCCTCTAGCCTGGTAATACCAGACTCTGCTACTTCACTTTGCTCTATAGACAGACGTAACTAACAGTAACAATTGATAAATTAAACTTTCCCCAAAACCAGTCGGGAGTAGGGCCACAACATCACCTCCATTTAACAGGTTTATCAAACACTCTTCTTGTTCTGGTTTGAAAAACCCCGGAATGTTCTCCATAACAGAGCGAATTGCATCCCGTGTCTCGTTTCCCATTCCATTTCTCTAACCTACAATGTAAAACTCGGTGCTTAAATCTACATCTCGGCTCTCAGCCCGCCGTCTGTTCGTTGATTGACCGGCCGTCTGAAGGCCGCTGGAAAACTGAAAGATAGGCTGCTATCTCAGACTGACTATAGGAGCGAAATGAAATTAGCGTAAGTAGGAATTAGCTCTAGTTGCAAAGCACTTACTTATTCAAAATAGACAGGGATGAAGGGCAAACGAGCATAACAAAAAACACATGGGAACAAATGAATGAAACTACTCAACAAAGAAAACGACAAACCGAATATAAACTAAACAGGAAATGGTAAAAAACTTAAACCTAAAACAACAGTCCAGAGCAGGAGTTGTGACACTGTGATGCTAAAGCATCATTGCTCTAGTTTTCAGTGTCAGATGATCCTTCAGTTATCATTCTAATATGCTGATTTGCTGCTCAAGAAACATTATTCCTCTTCTACTTTGAAAGCTTGTGTAATGGCTGCTAAAAACAGCTTTGCATCACAGGAATACATTACATTTTAAAATCTATTCAAATTGAAGTTATTTTAAATTGTAATAATATTTCACAACATTATTGTTTTTATTACATTTTTATCAAATAAATTCCGCCTCGGTGAGTATAAGAGACTTATTTAAAAAAAAATAATAATAGTACATGTCACTGTGTGTTTTGGTTTTAGCTGGAGTATTTGGCCAATGCAGCAAACAGCACTGTCTGTGCCTGCATTTTATTTCTAGAAAAGCCTCCCATGGATGGAGCCTGAAAAATGTAAAAGCTCCTTCAGCTCTCACTGACCTTGGAGCTTTTTAAACGGGTTGATTAATATTCTAATTAGCGAACGGGCTTTCCCGCTCGCTAGCTTCAGCATCATCAATATAACTCTAATTTTATGCTACATTTACAACATTTCTTACAAAGTTGCCCTGTAAGGATGTGGCAGGGCCCGTGTGGAGAAAACCAAGTGAAAATGCGCTGTTTTTACAGTGAAACTGCAGGCTTCGCCATTCAAATCCAATGTCTCTGTGTTCTAAAAAGGCTTTTACCTGACTTATCTTTTAATGGAATTATGAAACGTAGTTACTAATCTGGTAGTTTGGTCTGAGGAAGAATGCACCAACCTAAAATAGAAGAAAAGGGAGAGAAGAAAATATGCTTTCCACCTCCAAGTATTTGCATGGTTATTGGCAAAACATTTTTCCTCTGCTTTCTCTTATTTGCTTGCTCCTTCTAGCTCCTTTGTGGCCACATCTGTTGTTTGAGGGAGAGCATTTATGTTTGCAGCTCAGGCCTGATAAAACCTGCAACACAATAGTAGCGCACGTCGCTTAGAACACGCGCACACACACACACACACACCCCGCAGCACAGCAGAACTCAATCAGGGGGAAAGTCTGCAAATCTCTCTGGATATGTTCAGAATAGGCCTAGTGCTCACTGCATATGGCACAGTGCACACTGCAGTCTATACTGCCTGTTTGTAAAGATATGATGTGAACAGCAGGGGAGACTGAGGGGAATGTTACAGGACACACAACATAGCATGTCCTTCGTAACTCAGATCTCCCTGCAATCTGTGGGTCTGAGAAACATACGCCAGCAGGTGCCGATGCAACATTTATTACCATATTAATTTCAATAGTTTATAAAATAAATAAAATTGTCACAGTTGTCCCTGTTACAATCACATAATGATTTTAATTGAGATTGTGTCATTACATCGCTGCTTTTTTTTTAGCATTTTTATTTAGGTTTTATTTTTTGTTTAGTTTAACTTGTACATGCTTTCGTCACTTTTATTAGGTTTATTACATTTGCATATAGCTTTGATTAATTAAAAAAAAAAATAACGAATAACAATTATTAAAAATTTGTGAAGTTTCCTAAATTTGGTTGATTTGACACGGAATAATGATTGTTATATATTTCATTATTATTTCCCATTCAGCATCTGAACTTTTACCCAACAACCTAGAGATAAAACAGATATTAATTACTATTCAAAGCGTTAAAACCAAAGAAATGTATTCTTCAAAATGATTATACATTAAGATTACTTGTAAATTTATCATCGTGGAAATAAAAAATGATTATTTTACCTAAGGCAAATTGTATGCAAAATGTCTTAACTCAGGCTGTCCAATCTAATAATGAGTCAAGGAAGATTAAAAATGACTTCCGACTTGTTCGTCACACTGGAATGGAAGGTCAAGTTGAGCACAATGCAGTGTGTTATTCAGTATTTCACACAGAGAGCTGCTGTAGTCTGCCGTAACTCATCTGACGATCAGTAGGTACAGCAAACTTACATACTGGACCAGTATATCTACTGCAAACATAGTACGAGTAGATGGTAGCATCCTATTCAAAACACCCCGCTGTCTCTTCGAGCCTCACCTGGAATGACGGTTTGGATGGAAATGTTATAATTATGAACAGAAAGCCCGAAACAAATATTTATCCATTAATATAAATGAAGGAAGCAGCGTTGTAGTAATTACTGCACATTCAGCCAGTGGGCAAGCAGCATCGTTTGAGCATGAATAATGACACAAAACTAATACGTATTCCGCCGTAAGATATCAGGCTGCGGCAGACTACACCAGCGTCAAAAACAAGCTTAGCATTAAAGCACCTTTGCCTCAGTTAAGCCCCGACATACTTTTCTTCCCCTAAAAACATGCCGTTCAATCGGCCGTTCTGTGTTGTGTGGGAATATGGGTCATGTCTTATTCATGAATGCACCCACTGAACTGGGACCAATGTGATCGGTCCTTTCACAGGGTGGGAATTGCAGGGCGATATTTGCCAACAAGGTCACAGGCACAATGCATTATACATCACAGTAAACAAAAGATCTCCATGGTGGGAAAACCGCAAATGTTGCTGGTAGCACCAATACATTTCAACACACTCTTGAAATACATTTAGCAAAATATCTTGCCTCCAAAAACCCCTGATAACTCGGCCATCATTTACTCTGCATACCGTTGTTTTAAACACGTGAGATATTTAGCATAATGATAAAGCTGCTATTTTTTATAAGTGACCATATCTGTGTATTTTGACTTGTTTAAACATAAGTGACGTATGCTTCAGGAGAGGGGTAGATAATGAGTAAAATACTTAAGGTTTGTTTCTAATATAAAAGTTCTTAAGGTTTGAGGGTTTGTTTCTAATATAAAAGTATGACTTCAGAAGACTTTAAATATAGTGCATACTGTCCTTTTTGGAACACATAACACCAGCATTGGAACATTAGATGACTTAATTTTCATTTAAACATATGACATTGTAAAAAAAAAATGTGCACAGCTTTGTTAAAGACAGGAAATCTAGTCTAAAATGGAGCATCAAAGCAAATAATCATGTGTGATGGAAACAGCTTTTGGTTGCAGGACGCAGCTTGTTGGTTGAGTATATGTGTGGGATAGAGGGAAAGTTCTGGAAAAGTGAAGTGCCACTAGACATGGAGAAATTGAAAGGGTTTTAAATGACCCTTAGGGGGAATATTAGCGTCACAATTTGGCTCTAGGGATGGAGAAGCATCAGAGAGATTAACTGAATTCATTTAGTTCAATGTGCTGTGACCTGATGTCCATTTGACATCCACTCACACAGACAGCCAGTGAATATCATCAGCACTTTCCTGTGGCGTCATCTAAAGTTAAAGACACAGAGGCACTGACCCCATCATTTTATTTTATTTATTTATGTATATGGTAGAGATATAATTATATAATTATTATTTTTTTTTAAACATATACATATGATATTGGCCTGTCTAACCATCAACTAGTCCAACAGTTATTCTAAATCATAAAACGGTTTATAATTTTGTATTGTCTATGGAATAAATTCATTCATTAAATTATGAACTTTATTTATTATGAAGTAATTTTAGGTAATTTGTATGTTTTTAGATGGGAATGGTGTCGTCTAAACAGTTCCTAGAGCAGAGGTTTTCAACCGTGCTTCTGGGGACCCATCCTAATCAAACACACCTGAACTGGCTTATCAAGCTCTTTGGAGTCACTTGAAAATCACATTGGTGTGATATTCATTTGTGCAGAAGCAAATCATCTTTGTAGGACATATTAGTGGGTCCTCAGAAACAGGGTTAAAGACCTCCGTAGTAAAGCAACCCTGTTATTGCTCCTTCTATTACCTAGATTTTGTCTGCAAATAT